AGTTGAACGGCAACTGAAGTTCATATACCATCCCCATTCTCTCAACCCCTGGCATCCAGACAACTTTAGGCAAACAGGCAGACCTACTAGCGCAGCACTTTTGTGCTATTTCGAGCTCAGCAAACTATTCGGCAGCTTTCCTAAAACATAAACAATCTACAGAAAAACAAAAGCTTCCTATTAGAGGTTATCACGACAGATCATACAACTTCCCCTTAACCCTGCAGGAAATTAACAGAGTGCTTTCTCAAGGTAAAAAAAAACAGCACCTGGCCCAGACAAAATACCTTACCAAACGCTCGCCCATTTGTCCCAGGAAGCGGTGAAAGCATCGCTACACTTCTTTAACGCTATTTGGATCACTGGCAGAATGCCAACAGAGTGGAAAAAAGCCATTATAATTCCATTCCTCAAAGCCAGAAAAAACCCTACATTACCAACAAGATACAGGCCCATAGCACTTACAAGTTGTATGGCGAAATCCTACGAAAGCGTTATTATTATTAGGCTAACATACATCCTAGAAACCAATAACTTGATAGATGTCCACCAATGTGGTTACAAGAAAGGACGTTTCACCACCGATCACCTCGTTCGCCTTGAACATACAGTACGAGAAGCTTTCCTGTACAAGCAGCACTGCTTAGCAGTATTTTTTGATCTTGAAAAGGCATATGACACAACCTGGAAGTATGGTATCTTACGAGACCTGGCAGATCTTGGAATTCGCGGAAGGATGCTCAACTGCTTGTCCGACTTCCTATCGAACCGAACTTTTCAGGTTCGCTTGGGTACCACACTTTCAGAAACTTTTACTCAAGAGAATGGTGTGCCTCAGGGCTGTGTCTTAAGCACGACTCTCTTTGTCGTCAAAATGAACTCTGTGAACCAGGTCATACCATCTACTCTTATGCACTCACTATATGTGGATGATCTCCAAATATCGTGCCGGTTATTTAACATGGCAACATGCGAGCGACAATTTAAAATAGCACTAAACAAGCTAACACAATGGGCTAACAAAAAAAGCTTCCGGTTTTCTGAGAAAAAGACGGCTGCTGTAGCGTTCTCCCAGATGATGATGATGATGTTTAGAGTTTAATGGCGCAAGGCCGACTAAGGGCAAAGAGCGCCAAACAGAAGTGATTACATTAAAGTGACAAGGAAGTAAAAGAACATCTCAGTAAAAATAAACAAAGTAAAAACACAACGTAATGGAAGATGACTGGTCTAAAGGGCCAGGTTGTCAAGCATGATAAGAAATGAGATGTAAAAATTTCACGTCGGTAAGAAATTCTAAAACGCGTTTGACTGAAAACAGTGCTTCGTCTCCTATGAAGTGTGACGGGTGTGGTGGAATATGTCGCGTGTGTAGTTGTGGGAAGTATTTGCGTCGTGTTGTATCAAGTGCCTTACATTGTATCAGGATGTGGTTCACGGATAGGGCCTCTCCGCACCTGCTGCACAGAGGTCTTGGAGACCCAGTGAGAAGGTGCGAGTGCGTTGCATGAGTGTGCCCTATCCGTAATCTGGCCAAGGCGACTTCAGTGTATCTATTACGTGCGTCGGTGGTGTATGGTCCCAAATGTGGTTTTATTACGTGTAACTTGTTGTCTGTTTGTTCACTCCAGTGTGTTTGCCATGTTTTACGAAGTTGTTGTCTGATGTGTGGTTTCACGTCGGTGTAGGGTAATGTGGTTATGTCTACTGTATTTAGGAGTGTAGCAGCAGCAGCCATTCGATCCGCTGCTTCGTTCCCGGCTATACCACAGTGGCCAGGGACCCAACAAAGAACCAGTTCAAGGTTGCGTACATACACAGACATAACAGCTTTGACAATCAGATTGACAACATGGTTTTTCGAAGGCATTGTTGACGACAGTGCCCGCACAACACTGAGGGAGTCTGTATGGATAATGGATTGTGAGATGTCGCTGTGAAGTATATGATTAACAACAAGAAGAACACCATATGCCTCTGCGGTAAAGATACTAGTATGACTATTCAGCGTTTTAGTGACACTAAGGCCGGGTCCATGCGCAGCGCAGGACACAGAGGTGGCAGTTCTAGAGGCGTCCGTATAAAATTCAGCACATTGATACTTATGCTGCAGATGCAAGAAATGCTGCAGAATAGCACATGTGGGAGCTCGGTTTTTATCTATATGTGTAAAAGATGTGTCACATAAGACAGCGCGGAGATGCCATGGTGCTATAAAATCTGTTGGAGAACTTTGGATGATGTCTAGAAAAGAGACAGAAAGCTCTGACGCTTCCTCTCTAGCTCTGTAGGAGAAAGACGCAGAGAACGATGGTCGGTTTAAAAGGAGTTCAGTCATGGACGTATCATAAAAAACTGATTTAAAAGGATGGTGAGGCATGGATGAAAGTTTAAAAGCATAAAGGAGATCTGTGTATGCTCGCTGACGTTGCAGGTTCCATTTGTTACACTCCACATAGAGGCTTTCGACCGGACTAGTCCGGAATGCCCCACACGCCAGGCGGAGCCCCAGATGGAGTACCGGGTCCAGCATTTTGAGGGATGTTTTACTTGCTGACCCATAAACAACGCTACCATAGTCCAATCGCGAACCTATTAGGCTGGTAAAAACACGTAATAAAAGTTGTTTGTCAGCACCAAAAGAAATGTGCGAGAGAACCTTCATGATAGTCAGTGTTTTTAAGCATTTATGTTTTAGTTGTTTTATGTGTGGGATGAATGTCAGCTTTTCGTCAAAGATTATTCCTAAAAACTTGTGTTCCTTTTTGACGGGAATTGACACACCATTAATATGAATGTCAGGATCCGGCCAGCTGCCACGCCTCTTAGAAAAAAGAACACAAGTGCACTTCCCCGGATTAAATTTAAACCCGTTCCTATCTGCCCAGCCAGCTAGCTTGCTAACACCAAGCTGTACTTGGCGCTCGCAGACAGATAGGTTACAAGACTTAAAAGATAATTGTACGTCGTCTACATAAATTAAGCAGGAAATCGACGGTGGCAATGCCTTCCTCAGTGAGTTCATTTTCACAAAAACTCCACCTTGTGGCACTCCATTTTCCTGAACATGAACTCTAGATAGTGCTGTTCCAACACGCACGCGAAACGTTCTTTCGGACATGTAACTGGCAAGCGTGTTGAACATGTTACCCGAAATGCCAAAAGACTTGAGATCAATGAGGATACCATACTTCCAAGCAGTATCATACGCCTTTTCTAAATCAAAAAATACTGTCATGCAGTACTGCTTGTGGAGGAAAGCATCTTTTACATATGCCTCTAATGCAACGAGTTGATCATTGGTAGATCGCCCCGCCCTGAAGCCTGCCTGGCAGCCCCCGAGAAGACCGTTGTACTCGAGAAAGTACACAAGTCTCCTGTTTATTATCTTCTCGAAGAGCTTACACAGGCAGCTAGTCAGGGCAATGGGACGATAACTGGCAGGAGAGGAAGGGCCCTTCCCTACCTTTAGGAAAGCTACTACTATGGCCTCCCTCCAAGAGCGAGGAATGTGCCCCAAAAGCCATATTTTATTGTATAGGTGTAAGAGTGTTTCAAGAGTGTCTGGGTGTAGGTGCTGTATCATGGTGTATGTAACCTTATCTGCACCTGGAGCTGAAGGTTTGCACATGCTCAAGGCAGCCCTCAACTCATAGAGAGTGAATTCAGAGTTGTAAGAACTGTTCGATTTCTCTTTGTCGTGTAAGGGCTTTTTTTCAACAGATGTTTTGTGTTTCATGAAAGTGTTTGTGTAGTGTGCTGAGCTGGACACGTGTTGGAAGTGTTGTGCGAGTGTGTTAGCCTGGTCTTCCAGTGTGTCCCCTGTTGTACTAACCAGGGGCAGGCTGTGTGTCTGTTGTCCTTTTAGTTTGCGTATTCGTGTCCAGACTTTGTGTGTGTCAGTGTATGAGTTGATGGAAGTGAGGAAGGTGCGCCAGCTGTCCCTTTTCGCCTCACGACGCACTCGCTTCCCATAAGCCTTTGCCCGTTTAAACGAAATGAGGTTGTCCGACGTGGGGTACCGGCGAAGGACACCCCACGCTTTGTTCTGGGCCTGTCGCGCCCGCCTGCAGTCCTCGTTCCACCAGGGCCGCCTTGGGTTGCAGGACGCACTGGAGGCCAGGGGAATGGACTTTTCGGCGGCGTCAAGGATGTGCGCCGTGATGAGTTGGGCGGCTTCCTCCACGTGTAGGTGTTCTATGGATGTGTGGTGTAGTTGAGATGTTTGTGTGAATGTGCTCCAGTTTGCTTTTGATTCATTAAACCTTTTATGGGAAGATGAACTGCTTGGGCCTGTACCTAGATACGTTAATGAGGTGGGGAAATGGTCACTACCATATGGGTCCGTGCCCACACCCCACTCAAGACATGGAAAGAGAGCTGCGGAACCAATAGCCAAGTCAAGATGCGAGTATGTATTGTGTCCTAAGTTATGGTATGTAGGCTGTTTTTTGTTGAAAAGGCATGATCCGGAGGATGTAAGAAACTTCTCTATTAGGCGACCTCGGGTATCCGTTCTGGAGGAGCCCTAAAGAGGGTTGTGCGCATTAAGGTCGCCTATGAGGATGTACGGTTCGGGCAGCTGGTCGACCAGCGCCTCGAAGTCAGAGCTCACAAGTGAAAAATCCGGAGAGATGTAAACAGAGCATACCGTTATCAACTTATTAAATATTATTGTACGGATCGCTACAGCCTCGAGGACAGTGTTTAAAGAGATAGGGTGGCATGCTAATGACTTCAGTGCGATAATAGCAACACCTCCTGAGGAGTGGGTGCAGCCAACCCTGTCCTTTCTGAATACCATATACCTATTTAAGAAATTTGTGTTTTTAGAATTAAGGTGGGTTTCCTGGAGACACATGATACTTGGCTGTCTGTCATGCAGAATCTCATACACATCGTCCAGGTTTTTAAGGAGGCCTCTGCAGTTCCATTGGATTATGTTTTCTGTTCCCATTATTTGAATTTAAGAAGACTGGAGTGTGTGTGTTTGTGTGTGTTCATGTGTCGTCTTTCGGGGCTGTTACTCTTGGCTTGGGCTTTTTAGGCCCTTCTGAAGGCTTAGCCGTCACAGGCCGCTCCTTGCGCTGCGTGGCAGGCAGGAACGGCCGGACATCCATGTCATCATCAGATGTCCGAGGGGTGCCCGTCGAGCCGGGCCCCCCGGACTTGGCCCCCTTTCGGGAGCCCTTCGTTTGAGCCGCCACCCCCGAGGGTGCCACAGGTGGCACGGGCGGTGCAGTGGCGGTGGGATCCGGTGCGGGGCCCGCGGTGTCCATCATCTCGGCACCCTCCAACGCACTGGAGGACGGGGAGGCCGAGGCGGGAGCGGCACCGGTCCCAACAGAACTGGTTTGCACCACATCCGCTGCTGCCTCAGCAAGCGGTGTGGCGACAGATTGGGCTGCAAGAGGCAACCCAGGGGGGGGCGGGGGCGGGACCAAGTCCGACTCGCGGTACTGGGTCCCCGCCGAAACAAGACGCCGCTCCGCCCCCCGGCGAGCTGCGTCGGCGTACCTCCCCAGAGGGAAAGAGGCGAACCTCTTTCGCGCCTCCGGGAAGGTGATGTTCTCTGTGACCTTTATGTTTATTATTTTCTTTTCCAATTAAAACTTCTCGCATTTTCTGGAGTACGCCGCGTGTGGGCCCTGACAGTTGATGCAGAGAAGTTGTTGAGAGCTACAATTATCAGTGGGATGGTCATGTTGGGCGCACTTGGCACAGGTTATTTGGCCCCGACACGAGTTAGTACCATGCCCGAACCTCTGGCACTTGAAACAGCGCCGCGGGTTCGGGATGTACGCTCGGACGGAGCACCGGATAAAGCCTGCATTAATATAATCTGGAAGATTGGACCGATCAAATGTGAGGATTATGTGCCTAGTGGGTATTTCCTTGTCATCTCTTCTGATGGTAATGCGCCGAACTGCCGTCACACCTTGGTTTCGCAGGCCTTCAAGGAGGTCGGCCTCTGTCTCGTTTGCCAGATCTGGCTCCGAAATCACGCCCTGGGAGCTGTTGAGGCTGCGGTGGGGCGTGACTCGAATGGCCAGATCGGCGATGCGGGTTTGAGCAAGGAGCTTGTCGGCCTGGTCCTGTCTACTGAGCTCGACAAGGACTTCGCCAGTTCGTTGTTTTTTGGCCTTGTACGACTCTCCAACAACACTCTCAAGAAACTTTGACACAGGAAATACCGACAGTGAAGAAAGAGGTTTGGATTGGTCGACCGATTCCATCACCATGAAGCGAGGGAAGTTGTCCGGTTTGGGAGGACTCAAGTTAGGTAGTGGTGGGAAAGAAACTTCGGTGCGGCCCCTTTTCGGGGGCCGATCACGTTTGGGGGGGGGTTTGGAAAATGCCATGTGACAGATTGAAAAGCAGGGAACGGGGGTACTTTCGTCGCTCGGTTCACCCTGATGCCGAGAGAGGTCCCGGAGCTCCCTGCCTGGTAGACAGGCAGGGAGCCCATCGGCCGGAGCTTGACCAAGGCTCCGACGGCCACCGTTTACGGCTTCTACCCTTCACCTATAAACACCTCGCCACGGTTGGGCACAGCTTATGTTGGGAGCTCGGGGTCCGCGGTGTCGCCACTCACCGTCACCTAGATTACTCAAGGTGCCCCGTGCGGGGAGCGTTCTCCCAGAAACGAGGCTTACAACCAGACCCCGTGCTCAAAATAAATGAAACAGTATTGCCAACAAAACAAGAACAGAAGTTTCTGGGGGTCGTATTTGATAAAAAGCTCAATTTTCTTCCACACATTAATAATCTCAAGGTGAAATCCAACAGCGCCCTCAATGTCCTCAAAGTCTTGTCCCGAAAGCACTGGGGTTCCGACCGTAAGTCCCTCCTGCTCATCTACCGCTCTTTAGTACGACACAAATTAGACTATGGTAGTATAATCCACGGTTCAGCAAAAGACTCGTACCTTAAGCGCCTAGACCCTGTCCATAACAAAGGGTTATGCCTCCAACAGGTGCCTATGCACCTATTTCGAGCTTATACCTATTTCTAGCTTATATTTCACCTATTATATATAGCTTATATATAGCTTATATTTATATATAGCTTTATTATATATAGCTTATATTTCACCTATTTCGAGCTTATACGCCGAAAGTAACGAACCATCCTTAGATTATAAGAGAACGAAACTAATGCTCACGTATGTCCTTAGAGTTTGTTCTTCACCAGATAATATATGCCACAGTATTGTCACACGCTGTGACCTACGACAACACTACGCCAACAAGCCAAACGCAATTGAGCCACTAATACTAATATTTGAAGAAAAATTTCACGCCCTAAATGTCTCTTACGAAGCACTCTCCATCGCCAGAAGGCCACCCAGTTTGGCCCCACGGAGTGATTTCTCCAAATTCTTAGATTTTTCACTCACACATATAAAAAACAAAACACCCCACGTGAACATATACTACAAGAATTCCTTACATTACAACAAACGTACAACACTTACAAAGAATTTTATACTGATGGTTCGAAGACATCTGCTTATGTCGGAAGCAGTGTGGTAGGAGCAACACACGAGCAAATAACTAGACTACCGCAGTTCGTATCGATCTACACCGCTGAGTGCTATGCGTTATGAATGGCAGTACGATACATTAAAAGCTCAAAACATAAAAAAGCTGTAATATTTACAGACTCGTTAAGCGCGCTGAAAAGTCTCAATTAAAAATCTCAGTATGAGCCACTCATAGGCGATATTTTAAACATGCTATCCCACACACCTGATGACCACACCATACGCCTCTGTTGGGTCCCGAGTCATGTCGGGATCCCAGGCAATGAAAGGGCAGACCAACTAGCTGCAACAGCAAAAGAGATGCGCGAGTCAAAAACCAACATACCTGCCAGAGATGGGATTCAAGCTGTTTGCCGGGCCACCACCTTCACTGGCAGCAGGATTGGCAATCACAACAAAACAACAAACTTCACCTAATTAAACCTGTTCTTGGTGAATGGAAGACCTGTCTTCGTCAAGCGCGTTTTATCGAAGTAGTTATATGTCGACTACAAATAGGTCATACGCACATCACACATAACTATCTATTGGCAGGCGAAGAAGCCCCAACATGCGATAAGTGTCAGGAGCAACTAACTGTAATGCACATTTTAATAGCTTGCCCACATATGGAAACATTAAGAGAAAAACATTTCCGTAAGTTTTACAGGTTAAATATTCCCTTTCATCCAATGCTACTCTTGGGCGATGATGCCCTAATACCCATAGCTGATGTGATCAGCTTTTTAAATGAAGCACAACTTCTGAACAAGGTCTAACTACACTAAACTATGCTACCGCTAGACATGGCAAAACTTGACCGATGTGACTCGTAGCACAGCCTCTTCGGAGAGGCATCTGCTGCAGCTGGAATTTACAACGAGGCACTTGCCTCCCGGCCCTTAGGTATAAGGACACGGGTATGGCATTAGTGCTATGTAAAAGCCGTTACGGTTTAACATAACCTCATGCATCAACCATACACATTGACTACCCCGAGCATCACACACATAATCTTAGAACAGATATATACTTCACGCGTTTACGGAGCCAATCCTTTTAGGCCTTTATACAGCCACGCTTCACCACTCATCATTTCCCATATGTCATCGCCGTCAAGACATTTCAGAGTCATTGTCATAGCCCTGTCCGCTGTAAGTATTCTCACCATGAGTCTGGCACAGCTTAGCCTTAGTTGCTCTTGCGCCACAAAACCCAACATAACTAACTAACTTTTACACTATATCCAGTTCCGCTAATTAGACGCCATCCTTCCTGGCATACAAACAGACAACCGAAAAACAAAAACTACCCGTAACCGGTGGCCTAGATGAGCCGTACAACGCACCCTTGACACTCCAAGAGTTAAGCACAGTGCTTTCGGCGGGAAAAAAGACAGCAGTCGGTCCAGACAGAATTCATAACGCACTGCTCGCACACCTGTCTCAAGCTGCCGTGCAAACATGAATAAAGTTTTTAACATGATTTGGAAAACTGGTAAAATGCCCGCAAAATGGAAAATGGCAACCATAGTACCGTTTCTAAAGACTGGAAAACCACCGACTTTACCGGGTAGCTATAGACTCATAGCACTTACAAGCTGTATGGCAAAAGCATACGAAAGCGTAATAAACAGAAGACTAACACGCACCCTTGAAGTAGACAACCTACGAGATGATCATCAGTGTGGGTATAAGAAAGGCCATTCAACGATCGATCACCTTGTTCGTCTCGAACACACAGTGCGTGAGGCCTTCTTACATAGGCAACACTGCATAGCAGTGTTTTTTGACCTGGAGAAGGCCTACGACACCACGTGGAGGTACGGTATACTGAGAGACCTGGCAAATCTTGGAATACGCGGAAGAATGCTTAATTATCTCTCTGACTTTCTATCAAACCGAAACTTCCAGGTACAGTTGGGCTCCACACTATCGCGGGTTTTTGTCCAAGAAAATGGTGTGCCGCAGGGTTGCGTGTTGAGCACTACACTGTTCGTAGTCAAAATGAATTCAGTTAATGAAATAATCCCACCCTGCATCATGCACTCAATATATGTTGACGACCTTCAGATAGCATGTCGGGCCTCAAGCATATCCACATGTGAAAGGCAGCTGCAGCTAACCATCAACAAACTGACCAAATGGGTAGATCAAAACGGCTTTCGCTTTTCCACCCAGAAAACCGTTACCCTACTTTTCCCACAAAAGCGCGGCTTGTATCCGGACCCTGTTCTTAAAATCAACAACAATGTACTGCCACTCAAGTCAGAACACCAGTTCCTAGGCCCAGTCTTTGACAGGAAACTAAACTTCATTTCTCATATGAATTACACGAAAAAGAAAGCAAACAAAGCGCTCAACATCCTGAAAATACTTTCTTGGAAACACTGGGGTGCCAATAGAGTCTGCCTTTTACGCATATACCGCTCGATCGTGCGCAGCATACTTGACTACGGCAGCGTTATTTACAGTTCAGCCAGAAAATCTTACCTCAAACGTCTTGACCCAATACATCATCATGGATTGCGCTTGGCGACTGGAGCGTACAGAACCTCACCTGTCCAGAGCTTGTATGCTGAGAGCAACGAGCCGTGCCTAGAACAAAGAAGAGCGCTACTTACTGTATCCTATGTTTTAAGAACCAGATCAAAACCTCGCCACACATGTCACACTATTGTCTCTCACATCGGTACCAGAATACAATACAACAACAGACCGCACACGATAAGACCACTTCTTCTGCGCTTTGAAGAAATATGTCTAGACTACAAAGTACCGAATCAGGCACTAAGCGTTGTCCGAATTGCGGAAAGACTGGCTCCATGGTTGGACTTTTCGCACTACACTGACTTTGTCTTAACTCATCTTAGGAAGAAGGAAACTCTACGGGAACAACTTATCCAGGATTTCTTAGCCGTACAAGAAAAATATAACACACACTCTGAATACTATACTGATGGATCAAAAACACAAGAATATACAGGAAGTGCTATCATATCAAAACACTCAGAAACATGTTTAAGACTGCCACCATTCGTATCTATCTTCACAGCAGAAGTATATGCTCTTTTGATTGCTCCCGAAGAAATTTTATCAAGAAATCACAAAAAAGCTGTCATATGCACTGACTCACTTAGCGCAATAAAAGCCATACATTTAAGGTCGGAAAACTAACCG